TTTCTCTTGCGAGACAATTCGTCAGGCTTGGAGGTGTCGTCGTCCGAATCCTGAACATCAATAATGTCTTGCTTGTTCGACTCCTCTGCAAAGGGCATCAGTGTGTCAGGGTCTTCCGGATCAGGACCAGTGTGCCCAACACTGAAAGGTTCTGTTGTAGTAGCAGAGGGAGCAACAAAACGATCAACAAGAGAGCCAATGCCGGAGGCTGATGTCGCAAGAGAGGAGGAGGCTTTAGGTAGGCCAAGGTAAGCAGCCGCATTGATGTACGCTTGTTGTACCCGTCGACTGGAGGCAGTGGCAGCTTGCACTACAACAGTCGTTACCGAGGACTGGACTCCAACCTCCTCCTGCCATTGCGCGAATGAGATAGCGTCCTTGGCATAGGGAGCGCACTCCGTGGGTAGCTCATAACGATAAATAAGCCGCAGTCCTTGCAGATTGTCATAAGAGTAAGAGTTACCCGTAGCCCTTTGGCTCAAGCCTTCTGTGCTCGAGGACGCCAGGCATTCGCTTGAGCTTCCTAGGGTGTGACTGCCGAGTCGAGGCTGTAACTCTCGGCGCCGAAGTGAAGCCAGGCATTCGACTGAGCTTCCTGAGGGGCGGCAAACGCCTCGATCTTACGCTCTTGAGTGTAGGGGCAAAATTGAGCCATGGCTACGCCCCATTGGCAGCGCCTGGACGCCGGCATTAATGTGCGTGGCGGAGATCGGTTTCACTATGATATCCGGCAAGATGGCACCTTTGCACTCTCCGAAGCAGCTCTCGAAGTCACACTCCTGCTTGCCTCGGCGGCCGGCTGCAATCTTGTGGTGGTCGAGTCCTTCTGTGGATGGCAGCGCCACGAGCACATGACGTGCCGCATCTGGTTCAAGCAGGTCTCTGACGTACACAGCTACATCCGCGACAATACGGATATTGACTATGGCCAGCGCCAGGGATACCTCACCTGCTTCCTGAGCGACTGAGCGCGGCGGGAGGCTTGTACGGCGGTGACCAAAACCTCTGCCCCTTGCTGTGCCAGCCGGTTGTGGGTCGAGGTGCGTTTCATCTTCTAAATTTGCACCTGCCTGGGCTCAAACAGCTGCAGAGACAGGCCCGGGCTCGGACATTCGTCTGTAGCCCGGTTGCCTCACCAGGCCCTCCGCCATGGCTGCCGCCGCTCCCTTGATCACGTCGCTGGACCGGTGAGGCTGCGCGCCTATTTCACACCGGGCTCGCGGGAGGCCGATGGCCACGCAACCTGCGGTGTTCTTTTTCCGACCTCGCGGTGCGAGTGTCTGGGCTGAGCCCACTTGTCAAGGTGCGCTGCACCTGCCTTCTGCGATCCGCAGACAGGCCGGTGGGCAGCGGAAGCTCCTGTGGCCGGACTGTGCCGGCACTACTGTGCTCTGCACCTGTGTGAAACGGGCGCAGACGAAAGGGCCACTGGCCCTTCAAAACTGTGTCCGAACACTGTTCGGGGGGGCACTGGAGAACGCCGCTGGCGTCACTACCAGTCGCGGTAGTTCCAGCGCCGGTCGTGGTCCCAAGACCAGCGACCACGGGACCACTGGTCCCGGTCCTCGTCGTCACGGCGGGACCTCTGGTCCTTGCCTTTGCCCTTGCCCTTGCCGTCTCTGCGGCGGGCCTCCCGTTCGCGGTGCTCGCGCTCACGGGCTTCGGCCGCCTCGCGCTGCAAGGTCAACCGAAGGGACTCGGGCGGCCCCCTAGTAGGGCGGCGCTCGCCCGTGTACTCGAGCTTGCCGTCTGTCCGCGGGACAGTGCCTGGGCAAGAGTAGTTCTTTGCGCAGCGTGTGCAATGCATCACGCCGCATTCTGGACACTGCCAGGCCTTGCTGCGACGATCGTGGGTAAACTGCCCCACAGCGCCACTGGCGCTAGGCTGATCATAGGCATGCACTGCTGCCTTGAAGGCGTGGAGCTCGCCGCATGCACTGCATACGAATTCCGACGACGGGTCGCTCCAGATGTTCATCTGCATGTTGTCGCAGACTGAACATGCGAAGACTCGCTGCAGCTCCGCCGCTGGCGGACGCTCCGCCGCTGGCGGGCGCTCTTCCTGATCGTCTCGATCAGTGTTGTCGTCTGTTGCCGGGCCGCTGGCCCGGGTCCCAGCGACGCCAGCAGGGTTGTTGCGCGAGGCCTGCTGGCAGGGACGCGGGCGAGAGCTCTCCCCACGGCGTGCCACTGGCGGTGGGGGAGGCCGCTTGTTTTGGCGTGGGGCGGCAGCCTTCGCAGGCGCCGCTGGCGCCTGGTTCCTTTCGACTGCCGGCACTGCCGGGCTGGAGGACTTGCGCGCCACCTTGCCCTCAAGGGGAGGGTGCGGTTGCGCTGGCGGTGGCGGGGAGTCGCTCTCCGACTCCGACTCCTCCGAGCGGGAGCCTCGGTCGTCTTCGGTTTCATCCCGCCGCCCGCTGGGCTCCTCCACGTCCATATCCTCTGGCGCTGCCGAGGGAGCTTCCGCTGGAAGCGGTTCTTCTTTGATGCCAGAGCCCGCGTCCTCAGCGGGACTGGTCGGGGAGCGTTGTCGCGAGGCCTGCGCTGCAGCCGTCGTAAGAGGCAAACTGGCCACCGCGCTGCTGTGGCCGTCGGAAGAAACACCACGTGCCGCCACTGGTGGCTCGGTGTTTGCCGGCACCACTGGGGGCTCGTAGCCGAGCAGAAGTCGCTGAAGCGCGACTGCATTGGCTTCTGTGCCGCCACTGGCGGGCTTCGTCCAACCAGCGAGTTCCGCTGCCTCTGCCGCATTCACCACCACGTCCCCTATCTCTGATAGGGAGACGGTGGCTTCGTAGAGGGCGGCCCGCTGGGCCTCCGGCACTGCGCTGAGCGCCTGCAGCATCTGCTCATTTGTCGGGTTCGCCATCGCTGATGGCAGACAGAGGCTTCCGCTGAAAGCGGGGTTGTTTTGGGCACGGGGGGCGACTTACTAAGCTGAAAATGGCTGCGGTGTGAAAGCACTGCTTGAAAACCGACACGGTTTAAGAAGCTGACTCAGCTGAGGAGACCTACCAGGCTCGCGTGACACACGACTGAAAAAGACTAGCGGCGATCTTTTGCCGCCATTCAAAGCATGCCGTCGGCCCGCCGCTGTGGGCGAGGTTCCAAGTACCTCGGAGACGCCCGCCCTGCAGAGGCTGCCGAGCTATCGGCGGTGAACCAAAAAGAGGTGCACTGCACCGACGGAGGGCGACTCGCTGAGAGGCCAGCAGCTACGCGCTGCACTCAGTGCCTAACGGCGGCCGCCCCTGACGCCGCGGTTTCGGGGTCGCTGACCCCGGCTGCTGCGATAGCAGTTGTCGCATTCGTGATGATTGTGGGGGCTCCTGCCCACTGAGCAGTGCCGCCCACAAATCGCCATGCCCTGGGAGATGCAGCCCTGCTGCGCGCAAGGCATGCAACACATGAGGTCGCCGCGCCTCTCCGGGTATCTCTCCCATCTCTCTGAGTTGGGGGCTGCCCAGTAGGGCCATTCGTGCACGTCTGTGACCTGCAGGTGCGGCGAGACCCTTCTGGCGTGCGCTACTAGCGCACGCAGGCCGGGGTACCTGTTGTCGGTCGCTGACCCGAGGTTACGCCAATCGTTATTTTGGGGGTCCTCCCCGGGCTGAAACTGCCAGCCTCGCTGGCGATTGCGACGCTGCGGTCTGGACACCACCACAGTGTTCGCGTTCGGCGCGAACGGCACTGCCGTTGCGGCCTGGCTGCTAGCCAAGGATACCTCGGAGTCTCCCGAGTTCTGATCACTGTCAGTGTCGATAACTTCAATGGCCGGCTCCGCCGCTGGCGGGGCGACGTCGGCAGCTTCGGCTGCGGGCGGGCTGGCTGTTGTGGCCGAAACGGGCTTAGCAGGAGCGGCCGCTGGCGGCGGCAAGGGAGGGTCCGAAGCTGATGCCGACGCTGTCGGCAGAGCAGTGCTGGACGAGGCGGTGGGGTCAGTACTGCCGCTGGCAGCTTTGTGAGTCTTTTTCTTTTTCTTCTCCGAAGGGAGAATCTTGACCCAACCACCCTTGCCTTTGCCCTTACCCTCTGGGTGCCAATGGAAGCCGCTGGCTTCCACCTTAGTAGCCACGTGGCCCTCTAGGGCGTCCACCCAATTGAGTCTCCACTGGAGCTTGGGGACATTGTCTTCCTCCCCACTGAAGGCCAGTCAAAAAGGCCGGTGTACGGCCAGCCAGGCGTGGCCGCTGGCCGCATAGGCACGTCGCGCTGCGACATAGTATACCGGTGCATCGGGTAGGCACTGCCTGAGGTGTCCGGTTGTTCCCCTTGCATCTGCGCAAAAGGGTAGAAGGGGGGCCAAACTTTGGACTCCCCTTCCCCCGCTCGATTCAGGGGTTCGTGGTCGTCGCTGACGACCGCGGGGTCTACCCGCATGGCACAGCTAATGGCCCAAAGGAGATAACTTATCTCCTGTTGTGCCATTTCTTCACGCATGGCCTGCTCTAGCACAAAGATTGGATTGCACTGCAAAAAGCGGAGGCAGGAGCGACACTGTCGCACGCGTTGCAGGCATTGTGGCGCTGCCAACTGATTTTCTCGACCGTCCCTTCTAGGGTACGGCGCCTCTGGCGACTCAGCCGCATAAGTGCGGGCTGCTTGGTCAACCATAACTGGCACTGACAGTTATATAAAAGGGAGTGGAAGGTCGTCGCTGACGACCCCCACTGCTGCGGAGCACTACAAGCTACTCTATAAAAACTTTTTGGATCACAGATCCAACTTCAAGCCGAAAGCTGCACGGCAAAGCTTGTCTAGTGTCACTCACACACAAGTGAAAACACTGTTTTCCTTTTTCGACAAACTTTGTCTACACTTTCGGCGGAAAATAAAACCCATTCACGCACGCATGATGGATGCTTGCTGTGCCAGCCGGTTGTGGGTCGAGGTGCGTTTCATCTTCTAAATTTGCACCTGCCTGGGCTCAAACAGCTGCAGAGACAGGCCCGGGCTCGGACATTCGTCTGTAGCCCGGTTGCCTCACCAGGCCCTCCGCCATGGCTGCCGCCGCTCCCTTGATCACGTCGCTGGACCGGTGAGGCTGCGCGCCTATTTCACACCGGGCTCGCGGGAGGCCGATGGCCGAAGCCAAGCGTTATGACTCTCACGCAAGCGGTTGTTCACAGGCGACTTGCGGCCGAGAGCTCGGTTCACTTCCAGTGGTACGAAGGAACCCTGGTTATCCAAGCTCTCTGCGAGGCTAGCCTTCCGCACCCACCGCATGCTACCGCAGGCTGGCAGCAACTCGTCGACGGTGAGCCGCAGCACAATGCAATTTGCAATGAAGTTCACATCCCTGGGCCCTTTCTTCGGGGACACGTGTTTGTGGCACGCCAGCTTGAGGTCAACATCATTGTCACAGCAGGTTCGGTGGAGACAGGACAGCACTGGGTGGCAGTGGTTGAGCGCCTGCTTGAGCGCCAAAAAGGTCCACGCAGGGTGAAACGCCTTGGTGCGGTGTGCCCGGAACACGAGTATGTCAGTGAGTTTGGGTTCCGCCCACTCAGCTTTGGGGCGGACCTCACATTGTTTCGGAAAGGCCCGGACCTATGCGGTGGTCATCCTGCCCTCCCGCTGGCCCTCGGGAAACTAGCAAGAGCTATCTTGCCGCTGATCATGGAGCCCGGGATACTTATGTGTGATTCCTTGTGGCTGTACACGGACACGGCAGAGGTAACAACGTACCGGCATGCTCAACACACACTGCCGCATATCATTAACCGAGGGCGTTGGATTGGGAGGCATGAGGAAAAGCACTCCGCGCTCTTTGTCCCCATACAGGCCGAGACGGCCCTTACTGACGCCCCGATCTGGTGGGGCAAGGTGTATGCACTGTGGTTTCTTACCCCGATGCTGCCAGGCAAGCACGTTCTACTGGCGGACCATGACGCGGCACCGACCTCGCTTTTCGAGGTTCGGGACCTGCAGGAGCTGGCGGCGGAGGCCGCCATCCTACAGGATGTACCCACACCACGGGAGGAATCGCTACGGGTCCCCCGTACGCGGCCCATATGGGACTTTGCCCCGGGCGGCTATGGCCTTGGGCAGCGGCCTCGTGACATGAGTCACGTCGGGGTGATCTTTATATCGGAGCCCTCCACTGATGCCCAGGGAAGATTTTCCGTGTTTACGGCTCAACCAGGCCGCACCCCACAGGAAGTTGGCTTCCTCCCTAGAGCCTGGCGATCCAATGGGGCGTGGCATGAGTACTTACGGCAGTGCGAGCATGGGGGACCACGTGGAGACCACGGCCTTCGTCCATATGAAGACCGCTTGCGGCTTGACGCCTCGTTGTTGGACGACTGGGCGGCTGAGCTGGTGCCGGCGCTCCTAGCTCAGTTCGCTCTTCTACCCACGCTGCCGCATAGCACTGTCTCCTCTGACTGGAGACAAGCTGAGTTGCTGGCGGGTACACCGCTGATGGGCGCTCAGGCTAGGCACTCGAGTGATGTCGCCGCTGCCTGAGCCTACGTTTCCTGATTCAGGCCTTCTATTGGCAACTGGATACAGCAGAGGGTTACACAGCCGCTTGCAGGGTCCCTCGACCTCGGGAACCAGTTGCCGAGCTGTTAGCGCCGTTCCCAGGCGCGCTGGCTTGGGCCCGCGGTGCACACGAGCAATGCGCGAATTCTACCTTGTACGCCATGAGCAACCAGCGATGCCGCATCGGTTGCTTGCCCGGACCCGGGCTCTTTATGAGCAAGCGTCTACCAGATAATGACTCAGTAGTCGGGCCGGCATTTGTGCACGGATACGGAGCGGGTGGCAAAATCTACCTGAGATCGCTGGACCACCTACGGGGCTCTGCCAACTCTCGCAGAGTGCCTCTGGGGCTGGAGGGGCAAACCGTCCGCGTGGGCGGTGGGACTCTATGGCCTTATGGGTGCTCCGGGATTTTGCATTGTTGGCCCTGAGCGGCCGGCCCTGGAGGGCGCCAGCCGTCCCCTGGAGTTTCACTGTTTAGACGCAACTGCCGAGCGATCAGCGGCACACCCGCTGACTGGCACTGTACGAGGCTGGATCTGTTCGGAACTCGAGCGTCTTTGCCGAGGCTCCTCCCGAGCTGGTCAGGGGGCGCTAGCCAGCGATGTCACCCTGCTCGACGCGTACTTTGGGTGGGCCGTTTTGGCAGAGCACACTTAGATTCCACGACAGATGAGAACGACCTATCGCTGCCGGTCGAGAATCGCCCCATAAGGGTCAGGTGCTCTGGGGCGGCGGCATTCCATGTCCCGAGCCGTACGGAGGAATGGCAAGTGGTATGCTCGCAGCAATGCTATGGACCCACGGGGTGCCAGACGGAGACCACAGTGGAGGGTGACAAAGGACATCTGTTCGTTGAAGAACCGGCTCGGCTGGCCTACGCAGGTCAACACACCAGCTTGCTACTGTCACCGGCGAGTGTGATCAGGACGGCGCATGCCATGTTGGATTCACCCCTCAATCCGCCGGAGGTCTCGATGTTGCATAGACCATTTCAGCGCCTACCCCGCAGCTCGCATCTGCAGTCGCCACATAGTGGTTGCCTCAATGCCTTGCTAATTTTCTTGACGGCGCTGAGGCCTAGTCCCCTGATTATTCACGGGTTCTCGGCGGGCAGCTACACTGGTGCGGTAGTGGCCCTTTTAGCGCATAGAGCTTGGGAAGCTATACCGCCGCAGCCCGGGCCCGGCAATTCTGCTGTGACCCCAGAGTGTGCCCTCCACCATGTAGTGCGCCTGGGTGCCTTAGGGATGCCGGACTTCATCTTCGATCAACTCATACAACTACCGGTCACCCTGTGGCTGGTGCACGCTCCGCAGTTGGACAGGCGCCTGCGGGCGGCGGGAGGCGGTTTTGTCTGGCATTTAGGAGGGGCGACGGCTGCCCTTTTCGGCCCGAGCTGCCATGGATATGGCCATTTACTGGACAGGCTGGAGTGCCTGCCCTCAGAGGTCGATGTCGCACAGTGCCGCGCCTTCCTGCCGCTCATCAACGACAACGAGGAATTACGTCTGGCTTACCAACAATTGCACCTGTTCCGTTTTCCGATCTTTAGCGATTCGCCACATATGCGGGTCATGCGGACGCTCTTCCCGAATGCGGACCTCACGGACGCTGGCTTGGCCAGTCTGCAGAGCGCTCTGCCGCCCGCACTCTCGGCAGAGTTGACAGCAAACCAGGAGCCCGCTACCGCAGTAGTGGGCCGCCTTAAGGCATGGCTGCTCAGCACCATCGAACTACACCACATTACACCAGAAGTAAGAGCGACTAGCGGGCTTCCAGCGCCGGTTGCCAGCGCGCTTGTGCGGCACACCCTGCCACGAGTTGTTGATTTCCTCTACTTCCACCTCTTCAGTAAGGGCGCCACATTGGCGGACTCCACGGAGGAGGGCAGGCGTGAGCCACATAGGCACGCTGCTCCTAGCGCAAGAGTGGCAGGTTCCCGGGAATTCCAGAATCTTTTGGTCACCATCACGGCAACGACGTGCACTAGCTTTGGGGCTTACCTGTTAAAGGTTGTGGCCTCTTCTCCGAGGGGCAATGTCCGCAACTGGTTTTCCCACCTCGAACGGCAGTTCCCTTTTGAAGGCTCTGCGATCGTCCTGGAAGTGGGCGGCCCACCCCCCGTGAAGCTTGTGGGAATCTTCAAGGAACTACATATCAACCGCAAACGAGGTGAGCGTCCATACGACAGACACCTCAGGAAACTCAACCCCAGCTCTGTTGAGATTCTCGTTCACGAGTGGCCGGCCGTCTTGGGGCCATCGCCAACTGCCCAGTGCACACCGACTGTCACTCTCCCTTACCACAGACTTGTTTGCCTGAAGTCCGGCGGGGGCCTCGACCTCTTTCGACGCGTCCTTGCATTGCCGATGGGTCGTGTGCCATTGTCCTTAGGGGTGCCGGGCCCTACCGCCTTCAGGCCGACTACACATTCTGACGCGGATTTCGCGAGTGAGGTGGACATGGTCCTGCTTTTTCTCCAGGCCTGCCGAGTCATGGCGGTCGAGGGACTGTTCAACCCGGAGCAGGCAGCTTCTGTTGCGTGGGCCGCACATCGCAGTGTGCTCCTCGACACTAAACACAGGTTACAGGCGGGACACTCACAGCGGCGGGTAGGGCAAGGGTGGGAGGTACCACGAGACGAGATTCCAGCCATCTACTTGGAAGCCGCGAACATGCGTGGCCGCGCCTTCTGTGAGCTCATCAACCTTCTGCTTGAAGATCCAGACGGACTCCTGATTTCGCACATTCAGGCCATCTTGGTGGCGCGGGGCACGAACCGTACATCGCTGAACATCTTGGGCTGCCCTGGAGCGTCCAAGACATTTTCCCTTCTGCTGGCGGTACTGTGCATTGACGCCGTATTGGATTTTCCTGTCGTTTGGACATCGCAACAGCACGCCGCCCTCCTGGCGGTGCTTATGATCTCCCACAACGTGTTGGCGGATGCGCCGCTTTGGCTACGACGCATGCTGGTCGTCCGCCGTGTATCAGGTAAACAGGACTTGTTCTCCACTGTTCACGACCATGTGCCCCTGACCCACGGCAGAGGACCCAAAGACAGGGGGCAGGATGAGCAATTCGAGGCGGAACAGCGCGCCCAAGACCAAGGAGGGGGCAACTGTGCCACCCCCGCTGCTCCAGGCACGCATCCTTCTAATCACACAGGGGTCAGGAGCCCAGCAGTTGGGGAGATATCGGTCCGAGATCTTGTCGGCGCTAGTTCACTGCCGTGCTTTGATCATCGACGAAGGACAGCAAGAGGGACATACCGAGTCAGTCAACGTTACGGAGGCGGCAGATGATGTTCTCCTTATCCGTACTGGGGATCCCAAGCAGCCCACCGGCGGTGGCGCCACTGAAATTCAGATCGCCACCATCGACAGGCTCCTACAAAAGCACGTTGGCATCCGTGGAGTCGCTCAGGCGGGGCTGCAGTTAGTCCAGCCGCTACATGTGGCATTGGCCACAAGCAGACTGGTCAATGCTACCCGACAGGGCCCGCTGCGGGTAGGTGCGTTTCAGAGCTTACAGGATGTGGTGCAAACTGGCCTCCAGCCGTCCGACGACTCAAGCCACCTCGCGGTTGAGCTGCGAGAGGAATATGCGAGATGGCTTTTCCTCTCTCCTACTCCGAAGGTACGGGGCTGCCTATTCAGGGACGCCCCCTCGGACGGTGCCTGTGATGTGCAGTTCGCAGATCGTGTCTGCCGCGTCCCATACGCAGCTCTGCACAGTGTGGGCGGCCAGCTATGCTTCCCCTGCCAGGGCCTTGCCGAGGACGATAGGGCTGCAGCTATCGCGCCAGCAGAGCACCTGGGCCCTAGGGGGATTCTCGCCTACATGGCTTGCCTTGCAGCGACCGGGGCCATGGCAAAGGACACGCATCAAGCGGAGGGATTGACTGCAATTAATGGAGTGGCATTCAATCTAGGTCTTATCAGCTCGGCTCGCCTGCTAACGGAAGTCTACCTCCTGATAACGGCGGTGAGATACCCGCAAGCGGTGCAATGGTGCCTGACAACGGGACGGCATCCAGGGGTCCCCACCATCGGTAGGATTGCGGCCCCCAGCAGTGCTCGGGATGCGGCCAACCGCGATCCTCGA